CCTACTTGGCAAGTTCTAAGCCAGTGAGAGACTTGGTCTCAAAAACCATTATGGCCAGCACCTGAGAACGGCAGTTAAGGGTGGCCTCCAGCCTCTGAGTACTTATCCACACGCACACTCAAGTCTGCCCCGTCCCACAGAGTCTCAGACAGACACAGCTTTAAAGGGACAATGACAAGGGACCCAGGGGAGGAGCCACTGCATTCCACCTCACTAGGATGACAGAGGAGGCAATGAAGGAAAATGAATGACCTCTGAAGGTCCCCTGTCCCAGGCCATCAACAGCAGACTCTTCAACATTTAGTCAGACAGCTCCAACCTGACTGACAGGATCACCTCACCTGGGAGTGGCAGGAGTCACCAGCGGTTCCCACGGGGACAAGCTTGACGCCTCCTTCTTGTGCTATACCATGCGGATGATTCTGGGGATGACAGAGCCCGACCACATTAAACAGAGATGATCCCATCATGGGTGACTCAGGGGATTAGACAACGGTCTTGAATAAACACTTCCGTGGAACAAAAAGACCCTTCCTGCTGTCACAGGGAAGCCAGCAGTGGCTAGGTCGCTTTGAGGACCACAATCTCACACCCAGAGTGCCATCGGGTGGTGGGGGTGGGGGGTGGTGGTGGTGGTGGTGGGCTATCATGGTGTGCCTGCATGGCCACTTGGTCAGCCTGCCCACTAGGACCTGCAGGATGGCGAGGGCAGTTCTAGAATGCTCCAGAGAAGGACAAAATGAAAACAGTCAGAGGGTGTCTGGGTGATGTCTGTTCTCACAGCTGTGATGAGGGCTGCTGTTTTAGACTCATCTTAAGACTGTAATATGAGTCGGGCCTTTCTACATGACGGAAGAGGAGGCAGTGGTCTGTGCCCGTGGATTTCATGCCATTCCTGCAGCTTTGTGATGATGTCATCCATGAGTGGAAAGAATGTGATGATGTCATCAGTGGCCAGAAATAATGTGGAAAGACTGGTCCCCAGTGTCTGGGTGGAGTCAGATTTGGTTCTCCATCTGTCTTGTCTGTCAGTCTATCTATCTATCTATCTATCTATCTATCTATCTATCTATCTATCTATCTATCTATCCACCCATCCATCTATGTAATCATTATACATGGGCACATACATATTACAGAGGGCCCCTTACTTAAGATGCTTTAATTTATGATTTCCCACTTTATTGTGGTGTCAGGGCTATCCTCAGTAGAAAGCAAAGATGCAGATTCCGCCTGTGATCTTGTCCCAGGAGAGTAACGGGCATCTGATACTCTGCCAGCCACGAGTGCCAGCTCCAGCAGCTCCTCACGCTCACAAGAGTGAACACCCTCACTAAAGCACACGTGGTTGCTAAGCCTCTGCAGTCTGCAACTTGTACACTGAATATATTTTCTTTTCTCATTTTAAATGAAAACAATACAAATGCTTGGTTTAATAGTTGCGGGTCATTATGGGCCAAGTGGTGGACATCCAGGACCCAGCAGCAAGGTCAGTGTAACCTCCAAGCCTCTCTTTCTGGCTCCAATAGAGTGAGCACCTCACCCTCTCGAACAGGGCCTTTTGGATTCTAGAGCGACTTGTGTCATTCATAAATTCCACACGTACCTGCGTGCACTGTCCCTGCGATTAGGTCCTGCCCAGAGCTTTGGTTACCCTAGCCAGCTTGATGGGCTGCAAGCAACTCATGCCCACGATGGCACCGATCTGGCGGAGAGCCACTGAGTACATTTTCTAGTGAGAGCAGAATCTTGACTGTCCACTTGATGAGATTCAGAGCAGCTATGGAAAAAAGCTTTTGGGAACGAATGTGAGGGAGTTTCTGGATTGGGTTAGTAAGATGGGAGGATCTACCCTAACTGGGCACAGCACTGTTGCTGGGGCTGGAGTCTCGGACTCTAGTGAGTCGAGCACCAGCGTTCATGTTTCTTCACTTCCCGGTACAGCTGCAGTCTGACCAGCTGTCTCATGCTCCTGACACGGTGCCTTCCCATGGTGCACCTGCACATCGGGGGCCACCCCAAAACCCTTCCTGCTGTGTGCTGCTTTGGTCAATTATATCGTTGAAGCGATGAGGAAGGAAATTGATGTAGATGGGTTTGGGGACATTTTCGTGAAGAGTCTGCATAGCTACACGGATAGGAGTACCTGGGTGGGTACGCAGGGCAAGCCTTTACCGTCTCTGTGCCATGGTTTCTCTGTGAATGGAGTAAAGTCTCTGTGTATTGATATCATAGATGTTTGAAGCGAACCTCGCTACAGCTCTGTGTGAATGCTAGTGATGACTGCTGGTTTGATGTGTGGGGGGATTCAAAGACCTGTGGCTCGAATGTAATGCCAGCTCCCCTACCAGTAGAGTTTACTGAATAAAGTAGGGGACCTGACTTAAAGAGGTGCCAAAGGAACTTCCCCACCCAGCACAAACAACGACATTTTAGTTTTGAATGGAAAAGCACTGTAGCTCCTAGATATTTGTATTTTTCTTCAAAATTTGAACATCAGGTATAAAAGCATGTGTGTGTGTATGTGTGTGTGTGTGTGTGTGTGTATGTGTGTGTGTGTGTTTCTCAGAAGGCAGAATCTATTTCAAATATACATCAGATCCTGACTCTCATATCTGGAGGAAATGAAGGAGGAAGGAAGAAAGTGCAGGGAGGTGTGGTGGTAGAAAAGAAGGAAGAGGGGAGAGAAGGAAAGGAAGAAAGGAGAACTGGCCAGCCGAGTCTACTTGGCCAGCTCCAGGCCAGTGAGAGACTGTCTCAGAAACAAGGTATATGGTTCCTGAGGAGAACCAGAGGTAGTTCTGTGGCTTCTACACATACAATTACAATAGTCTCATTCTTTCTCATTCTCTCTCTCTCTCTCTCTCTCTCTCTCTCTCTCTCTCTCTCTCACACACACACACACACACACACACATGCGCATGAAAAGAAGATAACCAAGTTCGGAGTCAGCATGGTACTCCATTGTTGTGACCCTTTGCTTTGGTGCTAATTTACTAAATATAAAGCATTTAAACTATGTCATTGTCAATGGAAACTGCAGGACTGTATGAAGTGTTTGTACAATAAGTTATCATATAGTGAACATACACTCTGTCATCCATATATATACATACATATACATATATATGCATATATATTATGGATAAAGAACCTCCATCCAGCTGGATTTGGCGGTGAATGCCTATAATCCTAACATTCAGAAAGCTGAGGCAGAAGCTCAAGGCTAGCCTGGGCTACAGAAAGATTCCGTCTTAACAGAGAGAATGAGAATGAGAGGGGCAGCACTCAAGAGCGAGTGCAGCTATGTAGAAATTTTCTTTGTTTCCTGAGATACTGCCTTTTTATATCTGATTCTATGTCTTGGAGCTACTGAACTCAGTAGAGAAAAGGAAACAACCAGCTCCCAGTGGGCCCTCCAATTCTAGACTGCTTGTCAGCAATGGAGAATGTTAAAGGATTAATATTTAAAATGCGTATTTTGGATACAAGAGGCACTTAGGGTTGTATACATGTTTTCTTTCTGAGTTAGATTCTCCTATGGGTTTACTTTGCTTACATCAGCTGTTTGCTGATTCCAGTTTGCATGCAGGTGCGAGACGCGGAAGGCAGGTTACTCAGCGGGATAGTAAGTAATATACCGTTATAGTAATGCAGAATTATAAATGGTGCTGGATGATGGCAGCAGGTGTAGCACGCCAATCTTTTTAGGCGATGTCTTTTTAAACAGCAGGAAGCTGTTAGATTGGCATATATCACCTGCTGAAGGGAGTCCAAAAGATCGGTGTGTGTGTGTGTGTGTGCGTGTGTGCGTGTGTTTTACACACACGAGCTCATTAACGTGCGGACTCCTGGAAATTGCTTTCTCCACCAGGATGGAGCGTGACTGGAGTCCAAGCACACCCATGCTAGACTGAAAAGACCTACAGGTGCCTGGCCCAAGGCCACTGCCACTTCAGTTGCTGGTTGGAAATGAGTCTTGTAACTAAGTGAGATGATGATCCCTTACTTTCTTGCAGGGGGAGAGAGCCTGTAGGCAGCTGTGGGTTGTGATGGGTGGGGAGGTATGAAGTGGGGCGGGAGTTCCTGTACATGGCTAGCGATGGGACGTGAGTTTAAAAGCTTCTTGCAAACAGGTTCTGGTGCTGAGGATGAATGCCAGTTACTCATGTCAAGCAGTCTAGGGGAGGCCATTGCTTGGGGCCAAAAGCTGCTTTGCTAACCCATAATAGTTTAGACCAGGCCAGAATGGAGGCAGTCACTAATGCTAATCAAACTGAACTTTGAAACACGAGCTTTGGGCTAGTTTCCCCCAAAGCAGGGGAGTCCGGTCAGCTGAATCATCACAGTGAGGAAGACCTGTTTCAACCATGGATGGAGAACTCTGCAAAGTGAAGTCCCTTTTATTTGTTCTTGTTTCTGCTTTCTCTGGTGGGCCCCTTTCTGTCGGTCACGTCAGCTCACTGGATACTCATCCTATTTCCAGGTTGCAATAAAATGCTAAATCAGACCTTTAAACTAGACCCCCACTACCTTGTCTCAGATACTCATCTACTGAGCTAAAGGTCGGGATAAAGCAAGGTTAACTTTACCCCAGCTGAATGCTCTACAGCAATGCGCACACCATGCAAGAAATCCGAATCCCAGCAAGGCCCAGTCGTTCAAGGAGGCTTTCTATGGCCCCTATTGTTACACAAGAGCTGGCTGACTTGGAGCCTGGGGTGAGGGTCTCAGGGACGGAACTCAGGATACCCGAAGCAGCAATGGCAAAGTACTTGACATTCCCACGCGCGCATCCTTGCAGACACGCCACGTGAGTGTGTTAAACAGGAGCATAGGGCACCGTAGGGACATGTCTCCAGACATAGCAGACAGCCACCACGACAGCGCCCCACGGCATGGAAATATGCGCGTGCGCAATGTGTGTGTGTGTGTGTGGGGGGCAAGTTGGAAGCGCATGCGCGGCGATAGGACTGTAATTTCCGGGACGGCAGGGGCGTGGCCGTCAGCATAAGGGGCGGAGCCTGACCGCCCATTCTGACCCCGACCTTACTGCACCTCGACCCCCAAAACACATGGCGCGGCACGTGTTCCTCACCGGGCCTCCAGGTGACCCAGGGCCTGCGAGACTTGGCGGGGAGGGGTGCGGCCTGGACAGTCCATATCTCCGTCCTTGGCTGCAGTTGCGGTCTGACTTGGTGCATTGCAGCCCGGCGGGAGGGAAGGCCGGGAAGAGCGCGGTGCGCGGTTTTCAGGTCCGCAACGACCGGCTGTCACCATGGTCTTAAGCCACGGAGGCCGGGATGTACTTTGTAGACTTTGGAAGCCTTTGAGCCGTCAGAGGCGTTGGAGAGGAGCAGAGGACGGTGGTAGGAGACACGCCAGCCTTGCACAGCACGCCCTGCGTTTGAAATCGGGTTGCATTGGGTCCCCAGCATCCTGCTGTGGTGTTCACCGGAGATTGAGTGAACACAGGGCCACATGTTCCTCTCCCCAAGCCCCCGCTTCCCCGTGCGTACTAGCAGAGCCAGGGGTGTGCTGGGCATCCTGGATTAGTAAGCACCACACCCCCAACCTTGTCTCCCAAGTTGTTAGTGCTCCGCCTCTTGCGCTGCAGGACTCACCCCTGCGGTCTCTGAAGTCCTCTTGCTTTTGTACACACTTTACTGTCTGATTATTTGCCTACCACTAGCAATCCCAAAGTGTTTGGATTTCCAAGTCCCTGTTCACACGTTCAGACCTCCAGCAATTAACGAGTCTTATAAAAGAAATCACCGTTTGTTTCCCTTCTGCCAGCACCCCTGCCTTTTAGCATCTTCCCAGATACTGACCAGCATCTGTAAGCCATCCCAGTGGGGTCTTTCTGATCACCAGAAATGGCAGGCTCCAGGCTCCAAAACTGTGGGGCTGCTGTGTGTCGCCTTTTTGAAAATATGAAAACATTAAGTTTAAAAATTACATTTCTTGATTTCTGTGAATTCATGTGCGGGTGTGGAGGTCTAATGAGGTTTGGGGAGTTGATTTTCCACTTTCATTATGGTGGTCTCGGAGATGGAACTCAGGTGGTCAGGCTTGGTGGCAAATGCCTTTACCCTTTGAGCCGTCTTTCTGGTCCATACATGTACTTTTCCTCCCCTTTTGATAAAAATACTGCCTTCGTAGTATAAGGGCAAAAATGACGTGTTAAGAAATTGACAACCACAGGGAACCCCACTATGTAGTTAAGCTTAGCACCTTGGTTCTATAATGTTCTAGAATGTTGCTTCTGTGGACACATACATACTCTGCTTAAATCCCAGAGGAGAATATTGTGTTCCATTAGAGCCTTGGAACCCCTGATGTCAGAACTTTCTGGGGCAAACAGGAGTGCTTGGGGCCCTGATGGAGGTGGCTTCCACAGAGGAAATCTCAAATGAGTCTGTGGAGCTTGGAAATGACCTCCTCTGAGCTGTGTGTGGGTTTTAGAAGAAGCCTGTTACATTTACACTAGTGTAGGCCTGCAGCTCTCGAGGCTGAGCTTTTGGTTCCCAGTGCCTCTGCCCATGGCCAGGTCGGGCCCTAGGTGAAGCAAGGTGGGGTGGGAGTGTCACTTTTCATTGCTGTGACCAAACATGGGAGAAAAGCAGCTTCAAGGGAGAAAGATATTTTGAGGCTCACGGTTTTGGGGGACACAGTCCAACATGACAACCAAGGCCAGAGTGGTCAGAGCAGCCTGGTCCATGGCAGCGGAAGCCGCTGGGGCTGCTGTTTCATATGGTGCTAACCAAGAAGCCGAGAGCTTGGGCTGGAAACCCAGAGGGTTGCAACCCTCCAGTTCTCCGTTACTGACCCAGCTTGATCATCTTGGTTTCCTGCCCTAAAAGTTTGACAGCAAGTCCTGCGTCCCCCCACACAAAACATCAATCTGATCAAACACACGAGCAGGTGGGGAACACTTTAGATTTACACGAGCATAAATCTGTTGAGCATAAATCTCAGACAGTGGTTCTCAACCTTCCCGTGCCACGGCCCTTTAATACCCTTTCTCATGCTGTGGTGACCCCCCCCCCCAGCCGTGAAATTACTTTGCTGCTAATTCATAGCTGTAATGTTGCTACTGTTATGAATTGTGTTGTAAGGTCTGTGTTTTCTGATGGTCTTGGGTGACCTCTGTGAAAGGGTTGTTCAACCCACAAAGGGGTCATAACCCGCAGGTTGAGAACCACTGATCTAGGAGGAAAGGAAGCTGGTCTCCACATGCATTCGGGACTGTGTTAGATGTGACTCCATGCCTCTCTGTCACTCCTGTGCTGGTCTCTACTGGGAATGAAAATGCCCCGCACCTGGAGCAATCAGCACGGCGGTGCAGTTAATAGTCGTGAAGCCCATTTGCAGTCCGCTCCATTCCCAGTGGTGGCCCTGTAGGCTGGGGTGGCTTGGCGAGGTGAAGCTTCCTGACCCAGCTCCCTCTTTGTCTCTTCCAGGGGTTGGCAAGACAACCTTGATCCAGAAAGCCAGCGAGGTCCTGCAGTCCTCTGGCATGCCCGTCGATGGATTTTACACGCAGGAAGTCAGGCAGGGCGGGAGGAGGATCGGATTTGATGTGGTCACCTTGTCCGGCGCTCGGGGGCCTCTGTCCAGAGTTGGGTACTGCTGTTTTGTTTCTTCGAGTGTTTTGTCTCTAGCCCGTACTGTCCACACCTTGGGGGCATTTCTTCTCTGTGTGAGCGTGCATGTGTGTGGAGCATGTGTCTGTGCTGAGGCCAGAGGAGCACACTGGTGTCCTGGTCTGTCACTGTCTGCCTTAGTCCCTTGAGACAGGGTCTCTCGCACGCGGGCCAGCAAGTCCCAGAAGTCTCCTGCCTCTCCCCCTGCAGTACTGGGCCTACAAGCATGCATGGCCATGTCCAGCCGTTTCCATCGGTGCTGAGGATTTGAACTTGCAGCAAGTGTTCTTGCTTGTTGAGCCGTCTTGCCATCCTGGGAGCTACTTTCTTACTGATTTCCCTATAGCCGACTCCCCTAAAATCCATCTGTGGGGCCCGTCTACGTTTATTTGCCCATCACTGGGCCGAGAGTCTAACTGGACTCAGGGATAGCCAGTCACCCTGTCTGTCTTGAACCTTCAGAAAAAGAAAACAGACCATCCTATGGAAAAGGATTTTAAAAGTCCTGTGTGATCTAAAACTCTGACCACAAGCCATTCACATTTCTCCTGTGATTAGCTCTGTCTAGTGCTACTAGTATTTGTTCTTTAATTACTACTAAGGTCGCATCCAGGCCTTTCCCACCTTAGGCAAGCTTCTGTTGCTAAGCTACCTCCTCAGCCCTCTGTTTAATATTGATCTTAATTTTGTATTGTTTTGATACAAGGTCATAACATCTAGCCCCAGCTGGCCTGGAGCTCACAGGGGTCCTGCCTTTGCCTCTCAGCACTGGGGTTAAAGGTTGTGTCACCACGCCCAGCCCTCCCTGTTTACTTCTTATTTTGAGAAAGTCTTAAGTTGCCCACGCTGGCACTGCGCTCAGCTCTGGCTCAAGAAGTCCTTAAGCGTTTTGTCTTCCTGCCTCAGCCTCCTGGTTGGTTGGGATGATGGCAGGCCTGCACCATCAGGCTCAGACAGACAGGCTCAGCTCTGTGCCGTGGCGTGTGGGCCCGTGGGAGTTCCGGGGACTTCACCGTTACACTCCAAGACTGATGTTGGCAGAGGTAGTGTTGACATCATCAAGACCCCGGTTTCAGGAGAGAAACCCCCACGACCCAAACTTACACACAACCACCTTTCCTGTGGGTGATTGATGGAAAGGGTGTGTGTGGAGAGCCGGTGGCTCAGCAGAACAGCCCAGCCCCAGAGGTCAGTGGAGAGCCCACATCAGTGTCTTTCCTTTCAGGTCACAGCCTCCACCTGGAAAGCCCGAATGCCGAGTGGGGCAGTATGTGGTGGACCTGGCGTCTTTCGAGCAGTTGGCACTACCCGTCCTAAGAAACGTGAGTCTACGTTTTCTGTCCTAAAAGCCCATTGACCTCTGCACACTGTGGGATTCGCTGGCCGCCTGAACACAGTGGCTTCTTTTCGGTAATCGGGTTGTGTCTCACAGTTTCAAAAGTCTTCCACATCGAGCCTTGCTGAAGATGGACGCATTACTCTGCTGTCACTCTGAGCTGTCATGTGCCCCAAAGCATGGTGAAGCGTTTCAGCTTAGGAAGGCTCTAATGCAGATCAGTATCCCCCGCTCTGCTGCACAGAGCTAGCTTCAGTGTGGGCTCCGTGGATTCTCTGTACTGCTGCTCCCTGTCCCTCTGCTCTGTGCTTCAGTGTGGGCTCC